ATTAAATGTATGCCCGTAACAGAAATCCTTAGAAAACGTAACCTTCCTGTTTTGGGCAGAGGTGGGGGAGATGGTCATGTGAAATAACAAACAATATGAAAACCACCATTCTTCCACACTAATATTTACTCTTAATGTATTCTTTTGCTATGATGGAGTTACGGGAAAGCTGTGTAAAAAGACTGGGGCTAGGAAAGGGAGACACACTGGGAGATTTTTCCAGTATCCACTGCCTTTTCCTCGGGTCTCACTGTTAGGAAAACTCAATTCAACAGGTGCATTTACCCCGAGCGCCTTGTACCCCAGCAAATCCCCAAACTGCTGTTCGGAGAACAGCCCCATTTCATTTCCAACAGAACAACTGTAAACTGAGACTCCCATGACCATACTTCCTGTTCCTCTGAATGTAGGATGACATAAAATCTAAGAGCATCCCTACAATAAATAGGGCAGAATTCAAGGAATCTAACTGAATCAGGTATGTGTTAAACAGGAATGACAGCCATTATGGTTTGGTCCAGAACATGAGCCCCAAACCCATCCAAGAAAAAGAAATCCCGCCAGCAAGTTTCCAGATGACCGCAGGGAAGAGCCCGGCACCCAGCCTCGGGGAGACACGGAGGAGCCTTCCCAGCTGCTTTTCTAAAGAAGCCTGGCCGGGCTTGGACTCCTTCTCCGTGTTGGCCAATATGAGTCTGGAACAGGGTCCTGTACCAGACGAAATGGCTCCCTCCTGCCAACTGCTTCTTGGCTTCGAGCAGCTGTGCAAGCAGCTGGTTTTACAACACAGAGCGAGCCCTTGTTCTGAGTAGGAGAGTGAGTTCTGCACCGTGTGAAAAACTCCTAAGTCTGGGTTTCTCTATACAACCACCTCTGTGAGCTTTTTAACCTGAAGATCTGGTGTGTTCAGCTTGCTATTCCTGCGTCTTGCAAAGAACCAAACACTCTAGGATAGTTTTATCCTGGGGAAACCTCCCTGCAACTCTAAAAGTCAAGTTTGCCCAATTCTTTGCTTCAGTCAGAAACTGATGAGCCAGGAGATACGAGATCAAGTATCCCTGAACCAGTATAATTAAAAATAAACCGAATTCCAGGAGTGCTAGATGGAACACTAGAACTTACTGCTGCTCCCCTGGCTCCGATAATCCAGTAAAGAGATTTTTTTTTAAGGCATTAAACGGCTAGAATAATATGAGAGGAGAGACAATAAGAAAATGTCAGAAGCTGGAAAGGAGATGGAGCTGCACCTTAAATTGGCAGCAAGACAGCCAAGACCAATCCAATTTACACCACAGGACTCCCCAAAGGCCCTGGTGGCACAACTGGAGGTGGGGAACAGTGGAGAGGTGAGGGGAAATAAAGAGGATCTACTGAACTTCTTTCAAGAAATAGCTCAATTCTCCAGATCAGGCACCTAAACTCTGGAAAGCTCCCATCCTAGCAAAAGAGACTTAAATATACAGAAAAGCTATTCTCTGGAAAATATAAAATAGAAGTCTCTGGGTGAGGGACTCCATACAACTTGCTGGGGCAGGTGTACAGTAATGAAATCTGGGATTGGGTGAACAGCTGCACAGAGACATTCACCCCAACCCTTTTCCCCAACTTGGTCCCCAAAAGGCAGCAGCAGTGCCCACACCCTACAGGCAGGTGATCGGAAGAGCCTCTCTGGGTGACCTGAACGGCCAAGGAGAAACGGACACCGCTGGTTCCCCAAGGGAAGGGTCACTGACAGCACGTCTAGTGAAGCCATTTCCAACAAGCCCTACTCACACACACCGGGCTCAAATCAGCCTTGTGCCCCTTCACCCTGCACAGTTCTTGAATACAGCAGACACAGAGGGACCACCTGACATCTGAGGAAAGACTTTACAATGAAAGAGTCCAAAACAAACAGAAAAATCAGCTTGCACCATGGGGGTGCAATCAGCAGAAATCAGATTATGGGAAACTCTCTGGGACAAATGGCCCCAGTTCCTTCAACATACAAATTGCACTGAAAAGAAGAGAAAGAAATGAGGGAACCTACAGAGTAAAAGGGACTTAAACCACATATCAACCAACTGCCCTATACTGACTTCATTTGAGGATTGATTTGAACAATCCAGTTGTTTTTCAGGAAAACTTTTTCTGTGTTTCTGCCCAGATCAGTTGTTTTTTTTTTAAAAAATGAGATAATCAGAGCCATGTAAACATTGTTTGGATATTTGATGATATTAAGGAGCTGTGGTCAGTTTGCGAGGTATGACATATTCTGGTTGTGTTTTAACAGTCCTTTTATACTAGGGAAGTACACTGAAATATTTATGAATGAAACAATATGATGTCTGGGATTTGCTGCTAGACAGTCTGGGTGAGGGGCTGGCTGAGAAAGCCTGGTCACAAGATGAAGGGAGCATGGGGATCTTTTACACTCTCTGCTTGATGCCTGAAATTTTCCATAACAGAGAAAAACTACCACTGGAATCCTCAGAGAAAAGAGTGAAATCATTAAACAGAAACAAAATAATATAAAAAGGAAACATTCAAAGAAGGTTTAAAAGCTCCTGTACATAAAAAAATTATAATAACAGGAATAACACATTCAGTAAAAACTTGGGGAAAACTGATGGCATATCCCAGAAAGTACAGTGAAAAATTATAGCAATGAAAGAAAAGAATACAAAGTTACAGGGCTCGTCCAGTTGGTCCAATATCTTGGTAACAGTTCCAGGAAGAGAGAAAACAGAAAGAGGAGGAAGGAATTCATCAACACAACAACGTAAGAAATGTCCCAGAACTGAAGACCATGAATTTCTAAAAGAAAAGATGTACCAGGCGCACAGCAAGACACATCACTGTGAGACAGAACATCGGGAACAAAGAGATTTGGCAAGTTTCCAGGAAAAAAGCAAAATTAAAACAAAAACCCTGCCCATATACAACAGATCAGGAATCAGAAGCATTTGGGACTTCACAAGAGAAAAAGCTAGAAGGCAATGGAGCAATGCCTTCAGAGCTCTGGAGGAAAATTACTGACAATATAGAGTTTTATATCCAAATTACCAATCAAAGATGAAGGCAGAGTAAAAAACATTTTTTTCAGAGATGAAGGCGTCAAAATTTTATTCCTATTTAATCCTTCTCAGCAACAAAAGCAAGGAAGTAAATCCGGAAAGAGGGAGAAACAGAATACAGGGAACAAGGGATCCAGCCGAGAAGAGCTGAAGGGAATTCTCAGGATGGTGACAAAGAGATTCCCAAATAAAAGTTTCCCCTCCATGCCTCAGTTCCCTTATCTGTGAAACTGGGAACTAACAATAGTACCCACCTCCTAGACTTGTAAGGATTCAGCCTAAAACAGACTAGTTCCTGGTATGAAGTTAGAGCTAGAAGAGTTGTTACCATCATCAAAGAATTGACTCCTTCTGCTATGTTAACTTAAAACGTCTTGATATATGACAATAACTAAAAAGAAAGAAATCAACATAAAACACATGACTGAACTGAACATACTTCCAGCTTTGGAATGACTGAATATAGTCACAGACCCATAGGGTTTTGGAGGTTAGCAGGGTTCTGAGATTTTCCTAGTGCAATTTCCTTGTTTCAAAGAATAGGGAAGTGAAGCTCAGAGTAACTAACTTGCCGGACTACACAGCCATTTAGAAGAGGAGTTGGGATCAGCTGTCAGGTGTTTCATGTCAATGCACTGAAAATCACAAGTGTGGCTACACAATCTCTATCTGTGGTATCCCCACAGGGTCAGAGTTTCACATGTACAAAAAAAATTATCACCATAGAAATATTTTGCCCAACTCTTGTCATTTTACCCCCAAACCTGGCACTTGGTTCAAGATATACATAAGTAGGAAGGCCACCTAGAAAGATCTAGCTGGGGCAATAGAGGAGGCTACAGTTGGGTTTCTTGATTTGGTTGACAGTAGGAAGACGATGTATCGAATTCACTGTCCAAACAGAGTTTCTCTGATTCTCAGAAGGACACTCTAGTGGGTTCTCACACAAAAGAAAGAAATGTTAATCCCTAGCGCTGTGGACCAATATGGCACCGCCTGGATGGGCATTTCTGATCGCTGAGTAATGGAATGGGTAGCAATGCACTTCCATCACAGTCTAAGTCTTTCTACAGGAAGGACTGGTAGCCATTTCAGTCACTGCCTCCAAGAAAACAGTGGATCGGGCAGTGAGGACTACTGAGCATGCCCAGTGAAGAACAGGAGTGCCGTCAGAGGCGGAAAGGCAAGATCCTGGGAGGAGAGAATTTCCTCCTCGCTTCATCAGGCAAAGCACCACTGATACTGCTCTGAAGTCTGAGCGGGGAGTCGGGCTGAGTGGGAATTTTCCTGATATAAATTCTATGATCTGTCTTCATCTCGTTCCAACTGAAATTGAGCCCTTTGTACATTGCCAGGACGTCTCCTTCAACAGTTTGAGATGAACTTATTTCAAAAGAAAATTGCCCCTTTTCTTTTCATTGAATCTCAGAGGAAATGAACACACTAATTTTTCATCTTTAAAGTACTGAAAACTTCTATGCTTCTTGAACACGTCTTATCAACAAATTTGCAGTCACCTTTGGATATACTACGTGTCCCACAGCAATCCACATACCAACGTGGTGACTGCTTGAACTAAACACCTCTTGATATTTTCACTATCTAGCTAAGATTTAAAGTGACAAGAGTCCAAAAAAACCCCAAAAAAAACCAACCCAAAAGTGTGATTTTTAATATTTTATCCTTTTCACAAATGCTTATTTTGGTATTTTTGATAAATAAAAGATTTTCTCCTTCCACTTTCTTACAAACATCAGGTGCTGCTTGGAAAACCATCCAAACAAACAATACAAAAGTATGTACTGGTAACTTAGCCAAGTTAATCAAACGTAAAAAGTAATAATAAGAACTATTTAGAAATATTTCCAATTTCTTCTGTGGAGCAACAGAAACATACAGAAAATACAGTTTTAAAATGGAAAGGACTGCAGTGTCAACACTCACAGGAAAAGCAGGATCCCGGTGTTTGCCAGGGCGAAGGCGAGTCCCAAAATCCCGCTGCCCATGATGGCGTTGCTGAGGTTAAAAACAGACATGCCTAAGGAGGTGGTGCCTGGAATCTGAGCAGAGACAAACATTCACACTAAGCAAAACAGTCCTCAAGAAAGACCATCACTCCAAAGTCTTTAAAGAACTATCGAGAACCAACATGGAAATAAAATTCAAGGAGTCCTTTCTTAGTGGTCTAGTTATTTATTTTTTTTTAATGAGTTTCAGGAGAAAATATGTAGGCTCCACGGAATAGCCTGGTGAAGAAACAGCTATGCTTTTGGTACTAGGCTGGATGAATTAAAAACATCTGTCCTAATTTATGCAATTAAAAAAATAAGCACACTTTATTATAATGACACTTACATATTCATCACATTTCTTTTTCTCCAAATGGCTGTTGGTGAGACTTCTTCTACTTTCCCGATCAGAAATAAACTTGCTGTAAAGAGATGTAAGATCATTTAATTTCATGATAATGATTTGAAGCTTAATGTCATGACTAACTGACTTATTACTTAACAAAACATCGCGCATAAAAAGTTATCAGTTACCTAAGAGTTTAACAGCCCAATTCAACAGCCCTCTCCTTCCCTTGTTTTTGTTTTTGTTTTTCGTTTTGGTTTTTTTGCTAGTATTAGTTGTCCACATTCTTGTTTTACCAAATAAACTAAAAGCACTCCAAGGGTAGAAACATCGCCTCATTCCTTTTTATATCCCTCACTCTACTAAGCACAAAGCAATGCAAACAGCAGGTGCTCATCTTGAGATGAAACGAAAAAAAAACACCTAAGTCAAAAAGAGCTATACATTTTGAATCATTTTAAAATTAGTAAGTTAAAATCCTATCAACAACGCAAGTTAACTTTCACATAGATTTTTTTCTAACAGAAAATTAAATGATGGCAACAATACTATAAAGCTGGCATTTAAAAGAATACTGGAGGCAGCATTCCTTCTGAGCTCACATTCCTGGAGTACAAAGTTATTAAATAGGAATTCCGTCTCCCCTGCAAAAAAGAAAACAACTCTTTCCCCATCAGACATTCCTTCAGCAATTGCGATACGCAAGTCACTAGACCAGGCAATGAGGGGGACATGGGCAAGTGTGATAAGTGATGGAGTCACCAGCCTACAGGAGTTCAGACTAGGAAATTATGGTGGGGGAGGCAGGGCATATGGTCTGTGATTAAGGGCAGAGCTAGGGCTTAAAGCAAGCATGGGATTCAGAACTTGAATTCAAATCCTTACTAGCTCTGAGGGCCCAAGTTCGCTACCTCAGTTTCCTCATCTGTGAAATGGGAATGACACCATTACATTATCTTGCAATGTTATTGGGAGAATTAAATGAGTGCACATGTGAAACATCAGTATAGCTCCAGGCACAGAGTAAGAGCAATGGGAACGATCCAGACAGGCTGAATGGAGTAGAGTATGTACAAAATATACAGAAGGGGGAATTCAGAATGCTTTAAGAACTGTCAGATATACTCAGTGTTAACATCCGAATTTCTAATTAAAAAAAATTCCCATTTAAAAAAAGCGCACAACACTGTAAATCAACTATACTTCAACAAAAAGATTAAGAACAAAACAGAAACAAGTGCTACTGTCAAAGAAAAGTCAAAGGCAAACTGCTGCATGTCCCAGGAAGACACGTTAGGGATGCTTTTTGGCTCTTCTGGGAATTTCATTATCTCGTTGCAGCAAGAACTAATCACAGTGAATTTTTCACTAATAAACGTAAAGCCACTTGAATGAGACAAAGAAGCATGTATCTTTAAACTATACACTGCATCTTCAGATGCTTTTTGGAATGAAGCTGTATTTCACAATAAACCATGTTTTAAATGAAAGATATATATATCATCAATGTTGGTTTTTAGGTATCTACCTTTTTCATCTTTAAGTCTAGCTTCTCCCTGGCTTTGCTTCCTCAGGGTTGCCTTATTTTGCCAGGATAAACCAAAGATAGGCACTATTCACACTATGAAATTCCCCTGAGACCACCGCTCAGTGTTTATTTCCTTCAGCATCTGCCTTCGCTGAGAACCTGTCCAGTGACTGTCAGAGATGAAAAGAAGTGAGGAAAACTTTGGTCTCCTGAAACGCAGGAGCTGACGTTCCAGCCGAGAGACCAGAGCAGCTAACACCAGAATAGGAATGTCAGGTCGTGCAAACCGGAGATGAGATAAAGAATCCGGAGAAGGAAAAACCCTTATTGGGCGGGGGAGGGGGTGGGCATTAGCCAGAGGAATCTTAAAAGACAGAGTCCTGAGAAACAGCCCTGCAGGTTCTTAGCAAGGGAACCACATAATGAACGCAAGGTCTTTGGAGACCCTTCTGGGAGTTCAAGTGTTGGCTCTTCTTTTGTGCTTCACATTTTATTTTTTATTTTTTTGGCAGGGCGGGAGCTTGGGGGGGCGTTATTTATTTATTTATTTTAATGGAGGCACTGGAGGTCGAACCCAGGACCTCATGCATGCTAAGCGTGCACTCTACCACTGAGCTACGCCCTCCCCACCCTGCCTGCAATATTATAAATCCTTCCACAGAATTGAGGTTGAGAGATCTGGCTGGAGAGGGTCAAGGGAGAGCAGCCCTCCTTTTCACACAGGCAGCCCCAGGAAACAGGGATGCTGGACTTCCCCAAACGAACTTGACTCGTAGTTAGCGCTGCCACTAAATAAAGGACTGAATGTCATCAGGCTAATTTTAATCACCAACTCAAGTCTACTGCATCATTGCCCAGAAGGTCTCCTATTTACTTTTTTTTAAATTAAGGGAAAAGCCCGACCATTTTCAAAGAAACCCAACCGAACACCAATAAACTTCCTGTTTATAGCAGATCTGAGTTCCAGGGCTGCCAACGCTCTCCAGACTGACAGCAGAAAATAAGTGGACAGAGGAGGACGGGCTACAGGAGCACACAGCAGGGGTCGCTGCAGTGGAAGGGGAGGGGGAGGGAGCCACCCCCCCCCCCCCCCCCGCCACCTGCCTGCCAGCTCTCTGCCGCAGCCCTTCTGCAGGGCCAGGATAATGAAGTGACTTACAGAGCTGCTGGGATACCTAGCCATTAAAAAGCACATTAAAACACTTTGTGCGTCGAGTGCTTCCCGATTCTGCAACCAGCCTTAACAGGTTTTCCCCCAAATCTGTAGACCTTCTGCAACCAGCCTTAACAGGTTTTCCCCCGAATCTCCACTGGCTGTCTCACCGAAAAAAGTTTCAAGTACCAATCGCAAGTGCAATTCCAGGTACTGCCAAATTGGACTGTGCCTCAACGTTTAACCTTAGCTCCCCCTGCTCTTCCAAATGGCCTTTCCAACAGAGGGTGAGGACAGAGGTAAGACCAGGGTGTTCCGAGAACTGAGACAGAAAAACAAGTAGGAGGAATCCACTAGCCCCTCAGGAGACCCTCTGTCTTCCTCTCAGCCAGTGCTTCCAGGCCGGTTCACGGCCCTCATCTTCCATGAGTCCGCTGATACCCTGGTTTGAACTGACTTTTCTTTTCTTTCTTTCTTTTTTTTAATTGAAGTATAGTCAGTTTACAATGTTGTGTCAATTTCTGGAGTACAGCATAATGTTTCAGTCACACATAGACATACATATACTTGTTTTCGTAGTTTTCATTATAGGTTACTACAAGATATTGAATATAATTCCATATGCTATATAGTAGAAACTTGTTGTTTATCTATTTTATATATAGTATTTTGTATCTGCAAATCTCGAACTCCCTTTCCTTTATCCTTTTCCACCCCCTTTCCCCTCTGGTAACCCTAAGTTTGTTTTCTATGTCTGTGAGTACTCAGAGAAAGCTTCTTTATTCTCTTTCTGATGTTTCAACTTTTTCTTCTTTTTCATCTTTAAGTCTTTGCGTGGTCTTTCTGCAAACTATTTCTCAAACAAAATAAAACCAACCTTTTTTTTGTAATGGAAAAGTCCCTTTCAAATAACTAAGTCAAGCCGCTGATCACAAGTTTCTGTTATCTCACCATTTACCAAATGCAACTGCATGTTAAAAAGCACTGACCCCTGGCCAAGACCTCTTTATTGAAGTACAAATGGGCTATTGGAGAAGGTGTCTTTGACATGTGGGATGATAAAAGAATTATAAAAAACAAAAAGAGTTTCACTAGGTCGGCCTGTACCCATAAAGCAGAACTCGATCAACTCTGGTAGCGAATTATTCTGCGAACAAAACAAAACGAAAACGAAAACCTACAATGGCTGTCGTGCTGACCTTCAATAAACAAAGCCTTGAAAAGGACGTAGGCGTTATACTGAGGTCGTGTGAAGGGAGGCCAGTAATATAGAGCAGTTATTTAAAACCAAAAATAAATCAACAACAGCAACAATCCAATTAAGGAGGGGGCTACACAATAGGAAGGTAATCTTCCTGTTTTAATCTCTATCAATCAGATTCTTCCTAGATTACAAGGTTTCAGCTGAGGATTTATCACACAAAGAGAGGACTGGTTGAACTTAAATGACCTTTCCCGGTTCTTCCCCTGAAATTCTAACACCCTATAGAAAAAAGAGAAAAAGGAGGAAAGAAACATGTAACAAAGAGACTGGGAGACACGAACGAATGAAAGAAATAGCAGGCATTTAAGGAGAAGACTGAGAGGTCAGCAAAGCCTTATTTGGTGGATAAACCCCACTGAAAACAGGAGAAAAGAGACTCCCATTATAACAGGAGTGGTTAAAGCCAGGAAAGAATTTTCTGACATGAAAACATGGACACAGGAGGAAGTCATGGCATCTTCTTCCCTAAGATACAGAAAAGACATTAGAAGAAGAGAAGGGATAACTTTTCAAGGGTCCTCCCAAGTGATACAAAGGTCGCTCAAGAACTCTGAAAGCTGCACAGGGACCAAGGAAAACCAAAAGGCTGACGCAGGCTTCAGTGACAGGAGTTGCCCCCGAAGTCTTTGAAGAAAATCTTAATGAGTAACTTAAAATTTTGTTAGAAGCTTCCGGGGTCATAACAACAGTAACTATTCCTGGAGATGAGAACAACAGTGGATAAATCAGAAAATGGGTGAATACTTGCCGAGATACAGCTGGGATAAGCTACTAACAGTTCAACAGCCTTAAGGTGACAACAACCAGCAATCATCCAAAACCGGAAACAGTACAATCAGTCCTTGGGGTGGAGGAAGAAGAAGTGTCTGCCAAGAAAGAGGGCTGCACTTCCGTTGTGACAGATTGTCTTCATACTAAAAGGTTTTCTAGTGCCAGACACTGTGCCAAGTATTCTACATGGGTTTTCTCATCTATTTTCCCAATAATTAGATGTGGCCGGCTCTATGATTAGCTCCATTTTAGAGACAAGTAACTTGACCAAAGTTATGTTACTCATAACTACACTGGTGAGCCAGGATTTGAGCCTAAGCTAGCTGAATGCATAGCCTGAGTCCTTAACTTATAAACAGTATTTTGTTTACTAGTCCCCAACAACCCCAGGAGGTGAGCTATTATTTTTACCCCTGTTTTGCAGGGATGGAACTGAGGCTTAAAGCACAAGATCACACAAGACGTGTGGATGGAGCCAGGATTCAATACAAGTCTAAATCCAAACCACACATATAGCTACTCTCTGTCTCTGTCTCTGTCTCTGTCTCTGTCTCTGTCTCTCTCTTTCATATAACAAAAACTTTGCAATATCTCCCCTGTACAGGGCACTATTATCACATCATTACAAGGTACGGGAGATACAAAGATGATTCAGGTGGTTCCTTCTCTCAAGAAGCTCACATCGAGAGGAAGTCTTGAGCTGGCTACTCAAAGTGTGGTCCGTGGACCAAGCTGCACAGGCATTACCTAGGAGCCTGCAAGAACTCAGTATCTCAGGACCAGTCCCAGACCTACTGAATCAGAATCTGCAGGTAACAAGGCTGCCAGGAGTTTCACACACACATTAAAATGTCAGCAGTCCTGGTCTAGTGGACATTTTGGAAGATTTTGCTGTGCCGGCTATAGATTTCCGTGACTCCAACCCCCAAATTAGGGCATGAAATAAAACAACTGAACTAGAATAAGGGCAGGAGACCCAATGCCCAAATGGTTCTACTCTGTTTTTAACTAAACTTTAAAAAAGTCATTCCTCTCGTATCCTAGTACAAGGGTTCCAGGCAAAGCTATCAGCTGGACGCCAGGTAATCAGAGGTCAACGTTTGCTTTCAATGTTTTCTCTAGCTCCCTAAAAAGAAGCACTGTTACCTAGACGTTCACTGCCTTGGGAGACGGTTCTCTTAGATTCATATCATTGAGCCTCCCTTCCTCCCACCAACGTGAAAAAGCTGCAAGAGAAGTGAGAGGTATTTGGGTGGAGCTTTGCTGAAATTACGGTGGGTTTTTTTTTTCACTGTGATTTATCTTTTTGATTTCACGCTGTAATATGTTGTTTTCAGTTTAAATTGTTCTAGAGCCAGAAATGAAGCAAGATTCATCAACCGTGTCAATGAAAGAGGGGAGATAAAATAAAGAAACAAATGCATCGCATTGCATTGGCAACAGTGGAACCAAATTCTGCGGAACAAGTGGTCAGCGCCTGCCCACGCTCGGGCCGTGCGGCTCGTGGCCTTAGTCACTGTCCATGGGGAAGTGAGCTCACTGGGCAGGTGCCCAAGTCCGGGTGGAGAAGGGGTGTCTCCAACCACTCCAAGTGGTAATCACCTCCAGAACAATATTTTTCGTAAGTAAAACTTTTAACGATGACGGTCAGATTCTAAACTGAATACTGTAAAAGACTCTCATCTTAAGGTCCTCAAGATTCACACTGCTTTAGGAATGAAACCTCATTATAAACTCGAAATGTCCTACTTGTGGAATGGTTAGAACCCCATCTGCTGTTAAGTGGAGGTCAGTGGTGACTACAGAACACTCTGGGAGCACAGAGCGTAACACAGCACTGGTGGAGCTGAACACAGTTTAATAGGTGGTACAGACAGACTATCTCTTTCACTAATCCCTGAGCATTTTAATCAGAGGTGGCGGGACAGTGTAGAAAAGTCAGGCATTTCAGACAGATCTGTGTGTGCCCTGGAGCAAGTTGTTTTATTTCTCTGAGCCTCAGGTTTCTTACTGGTAAACTGAATTTTTAAATTTTCCTTATTTGCGAGGGGGGAGGGTATAGTTGCATGGTAGAGCACATGCTTAGCATGCATGAAGGCTTGGGTTCAATCCCAGTACGTCCATTAGATAGATAGATAATAGATAGGAAGAAAGATAGATAGGAAGAAAGATAGACAGACATTAGATAGATAAGATAGATAAATGATAGATAAATAGATAGACAAATCTAATTACCTCCCTCTGCAAAAAAATTTTTTTTTTAATTTTTAAAAAATATTCCTTATTTGCAAAGAAACATTGCATGATGTTATAAGGATCCGTGGCAATACGTGTAAACACACCTGGCACTCAAGAAATGGTACTTATTATTAATAATTATGCAGAAAAGATAAAAGCAGCAAACTTGAGTCCAACAATAAGAACCATCACAACACAGTAAATACTCAGAAGATAACGAGGAAGTATCTAAGAGCATTTAAGGAAGAGAAAGAGGAGAGGCAGGGCCGAAACTTCTGCGTGTGTGTCCACGGTGGCCCCTAAGTCCGACTCTGGCCTCTCCATCACACGTTGTTCCAGGATGCAGAGCTGATGACCAGAAATGATCGCTACGAAGATGCCTGGTTAGCTGTCACAATGTTTCGTCCATTTGACTGCCACCTCCCCACCCCGAACTGCTGCATGGTTGGTGTTCTAATGAATTAAGTCCTGGAGAGTCCACGCTCTCCTCCCAGCCTTTCAGGCAGCCCGAGGCTTCAAACAAACCACACCACTAACTCCCAAACTGGAGAGCTTCCTGCTAAAGGCTCCATATAAGCTGCTATAAAATCAGAAGGTCAGAGAATGCCCCAAGTCATTAAAAAAAAAAAAAAAATAGACATTTGCCTTACTCTTTTTTTGTATAACAACTTTATTATAGTATGATTCCTGTATAGTAAACTACACATATTTCAGATATACAGTGTGATGATTTTTGATCCTACTCTTTAAAAAAATTTTTTTGATGGGGGAGGTATTTAGGTTCATTTGTTTATCTAATGGAGGTACTAGGGATTGAACCCAGGACCTTGTGCACGCTAAGCTTGCCCTCTACCACTGAGCTGTACCCTCCCACCTGGTCCTACTCTTGTAACTTAAGAAACACAGGACCCAAGGGATGGAAGGACCTGCTGGGGTCACAGCTGAGGGTGGGAGCTCCCAGGCCCGGGTTCTTCCCGCCCACCCCCCCACCTCCTCTTTCCTTTCTCTTTCATGTGCTAGTTCTCTACTCCAGTTTCTCACAGAGCCACTTGGGCTCAACCATTATTGTTATTACTTCAAATCCAAGTTACAGACGATGCTGGTAATGACGTATTTGTAGTTTTAACGTGGGAACATTGGCCAACGTGAATTGAACCATTCCTGGATTAAAATGTGGACGAGGCCAGAGGCCTGTAGTACACATTCAGATACGGCCTGCAGGGAAATGCCTCCAGTCTGTCGAATTCATAAGCACAGCGCTTTTTGAAAAGTTCGGGCTGGTTGGGGTCCAGTGTATTTATACATTTTGATTAGACTCAATTGAAAGATTTGAAAGGATGAATAAATTACTTTCCCTATTTGCTTCATCTGCTATTGCCGGCGATGCCCAACAGATGTCACATATGAAATTCAAATTACGTCTTCAAATGCAGCATAACTTTAGTAATGAATAATTCAAGAAAATAACTGAAAACCAGAATAAGATTTTAGAGGCACTTTTTTCATCGGATAGAAAGTGTTAGTGGAAAAATACTCACCTGTTTATCTGACCATTTTCTACTTCGGTGAAATCGTTGGAATCGTTGCTAATGTTGTCATCCTCAGGCACTGTCATGTTTTGCAACTCAGTTAATTCGAGTCCACTTTTGAAATGCATCATGTTTAGAAAGTACCTGGAGTCAAAAAATTAGTCCAAATTCTTCTTTTCTGAGTGGATTTACAAATGGACAGCAGCAAAAATATAAGGTCGACACCCCTAAAATGCAACACAAGCCAAAAACAGACGTGAATATCACCCCTGATTAAAAATAAACTATTTACACAGAAACAAATAATTAATCTACCACTAATGCAACTTTTACATTTTGCTACTCAGGGTATTAAAGTCATCTTTGTACATCAAGTTATAGAGGCTGTAAAATGTATGTCTTCTATAAATCTCCCTCTATTTTTAACTATAAAATGAGTCATGTTCCATACTCTTTATGCTCACACTTAAGAGGAATACCATGTCATCTGCAGGCAATACAGGCGCCCTTTTATGAAGCAGTGTGTTTAAAGGAAAGCGATTCAGTAATTTTAATGCGTCAGACCACAGGGCACACATATAGCTCAGTACAGACTGAACAGACGCAAAAGCACCTCTGATTTAGCAATCTCAGTTTAATAAAAACGCAAATCCTCAATAAACGCCATCACGAGGGATCAGCGACCCAACCTGGAGGTCAAGCAGCAAAGGACAAATCTGTGTTTTGAAATTTAGCAAAGAGTTTCTCCATCAACTGCAAGAGATTAAATCAATCTCTTCAATGAAATCACTCCATGTCAGGGAATTAGGGAATTAAAAACTCATACTCAGGGGATTTAGGTTAATCCACCTGAAACTGTATTTCCTCCTAGAAATGAAAGACTTGTAGAGTTCACATTTTCCCCCACATGGATGGCTGTGATTTCAATTCCTGAGGGGTCATCAATAGTACGTAAGGGGGAAAAAGAATTTCAGACACACAGCATCACGAATCAAAAAGCAGGTGGCTGCAGTGGTGTGATATTGTGATTTTTTATAAAAATATATCTGTCTGATCTCCATCCCCATTTCCAGCTCACAGTTCCCCAAATCCTTGGAATTTCCTAAGTGTTGAGAGTAATAAATGTCTTTTGTCATGTTAATGAGGCAACTTTGGGAAAGCACCTAAGGATGGGGGCTGGTTGCCAATGGAGCCAACCTTGTGATTAGAGGGTTGGAACTTCCAGCCCCACCCCTTGACCTCCGGGGAGAGAAGAGGCTAGAGGCAGACTCAATCACTAATGGCCAATGAGTTAATCAATCATGTAATAAGGCCTCCATAAAAACCAGAAAAAGGAGGAGGTTCAAAGAGCACCCACACTGGGGACTAGAACTCTTCCACACGCCACCGGCTGGGCCCCCAGCTCCACAAGGACAGACGCTTTTGGTTCCCTCCCTTGCCCCATGTATCTCTAAGTTCTGGCCAATTAACTGAACCCAAGGACGCAGTCATGGAAACCTCTGATTTAGAGCCAGTGGGCCAGGAGCACAGCCAACAACCTGGGCTTGTGACTGACTGTTGTCTGAAGTGGAGGGTGGTCTTGTGGGATGGAGCCCTGAACTGGGGCATCGCATCCTCTCTCCCAGTACATAGTGTCAGAATGGAGTTAACATTGTTGGTGTAGGGAAACCTAGACACACACACACACACACACACACACATTGGGATTGGGTCCAGGAGGTAAATGCAACCTCGAAAGCAAGGTCTATAAAGCTATGGGAAACTCACTGGGACAATTTCAGAGAGGCGATGGGGACCGTGAAATGAAGCGGAATTTTTGAGATTTATTTGAATGAGATTTTTTCAAATGAATGAGATTTTATTGGTTGTTTTTACCTCCAATAGTAAACCCCTTTGAGTGACGTTTTGATATCTTGTCTGATCCTGAATTCCACAAGATGACTGTAACATGTTGAGTTAAAACTCCAATCTGCCCATCCGAGCATCCTAAGCAGCATTGTGCTAGTTGATAATATTTTTAGGACCCCTAGAAAGCACCCCCGAATGATGTTTTTTCAAGAATTTTCTTCTCTTCCCCACAGTTGGGCCCCACATTATTTCTTTTCATTCACACAGTCTCCTATCTGGAATGAAACGTTCCTAGTTCCGGAATCCTTTACAACTTCCACAAGGTACATACCGTCTAGGGCCTCAGGTTCCAGGAGCCTCACCCTTCCTGCAGGGCAGGGCCTCTCCTGGAAAGCAGGAAGCCAGGAGTGGAGACTTGAGATCCTTGAACTCCTGGTCTAAGGCCAACCTGGCAGCTCGGGGCGGAGTCTTGCAGCCCGGGTGGTAGTGCTGGAGCCCAGGCCATGATTAATTGCCTTGAGTGCCTTCACACGGCAGCAGTGAATACGGCCTGTCTTTACTTTGTGAAAGTTGAAGTGCACTAGCAGGGTAAAGCCCGCTCTCACCCGTTGGCCCGCTTTGATGAAAGCTGCACAGATGGCCCGGACTGGGGAACTCCTAGGAGCCTTGCCCGCCTCGCTCTCGTCTGGTCGAGGCCCTCGGAGGCTACTGGATGGATACGGCAGGGCTGCTAGAAAGTTGATACAATGGATGGTGTTTCCAGTCTGGGTGAAGGAGTCCTTCTCTCTCCACAAACTGGTAGGAAATCGGGCACCGGACAAAAAACTTCCGAGGAGGGGAAAGGTTGACTAACAACAGACCTGGAGTCTACAGTTTGAATTGAAACTTTCCTATCAACATAGGGGTGTGTATACAAATATATACTATATAAAAATATATACTGTATCATAAAAAATATACAATATGTATACATATACTATAAAGTATAATATATAGTATACATAAATACTATGTATATATTAAAGCAATGGGCAAACAAAGCAAAAAAAAAAAAACCTAAAAAAAAAATAGAGGAAGTTCTGGCCACTAAAACTATGTCAGTATTAGGCAAATGTCAGCACTAAGTTAATCACATAGGATACACTTTTTTCCTTTGGCTTAGAAAGAAATTTATTTTTCAGTTCCAGAGGCTAGAAGTCCCAGCTCAAGGTGTTGGCAAGTTTTATTTCTCCTGCGGCCTCCCTCCTTGGCTCGCAGACAGCTGCTTTCTTGCTGTGTCTTCATATGGTCTCCCCTCTGTGTGTTGTCTGTGTGCTAATCTCCTCTCTTTTTTTTTTAGAATAAATTTTTATTGTTGCAAAATAA